GCCTATCCCCTTCTTTCAAGGCCCTCAAGAATGGAATGGCAATTTTCTTTTCTGAATTCTCACCACATACTGCTCTGTCCTTCATGTGTTCATCTCCACATATTTCTTTTACCTGAAACTCTACTGAAGGACCCAGATTTTTACTTTTCTAACACTGAGTCCATCTTTAAGCAGACATTTGTTATTACTTGCAAACAAACTAGCTTAAAAAAAAACAAGAAATTCTGAAGTAAACACCCCAAAAATCCAATATACCCACCTCTATACACAAGATGACCAATGTTATCAAGTTTACAGTTAGTCCATTCATCATAGGAAAGCAGCGATTCTGCCACCAGATTTAATCTACAAATGTCACCACACATCTTCAGACATCAACGTTGAAATTGTTATGATAAAATTATCTTTGATGCAGAGTCAATAACTTTCAGAAAAGGCTCATAACCTCATTTATTATGAGGACTCTCACTGGAGACATGGGATCTTCTGGGGGCTGCTTGGTTTACCTCAGGATACAGGGTGCTTTTGAAATTTTTTTCTGACTAGAGTACATGATTGTGACATGCACACTATCTCATCATAGAGGTGGGGAGAGATGCCATATGGCTCCTAGACCTATTTAATGTTAAGAGATAATAGGATCCATTCCAACTACCCCCTTTTTTTAATATATTTTTATTGATTTCAGAGAGGAAGGGAGAGGGAGAGAGAGAGAGAAACATCATTGATGAGAGAGAATCATTGACTGGCTGCCTCCTGTATGCCCCCAACTAGGGATTGAGCCCACAACCAAGGTACATGCCCTTAACCGGAATTGAACCTGGGACCCTTCAGTCGGCAAGCTGACGCTCTATCCACTGAGCCAAACCGGTTAGGGTAGCATCTTTGTCTTTTATTAGTGTAGATAGTACAGACATATCAAGCAAGATGCTGAATGCTAAGGCCCGGCAGTCCTTGTCAGATACAGAATGTATCTGTTCGAAAGACTAAGACAAAACTCCAAAAGGACTTTTTCTCTAATTCCAAGTAGCACCTAAGAATAGATGTTTCCCAAGCACCTTTCTTCTCAGAGTGACACCTCTCAGCTGTTACTTTCCTTAGAGATGGCAGCATAAGACTCCTTGATTCTTCACCCTTTTGTTTTAAATCTATTCTCATCATTTGTCCACCTACTTGAAAATCTTTCAAGACCTAGTTCTACAATCCATCTTTTCTAAGGTTTTCATGATTAATTTCTCCCTGATGTTAAATTTCTTCAGCTCATATGTATATTCAATTGGTACCAAAACTGATGTTGCTCCATTATTATTCTAGTCTTGTTAATGTTTCTACAGTATAAATCCCTTAAAGATGGGGATTTCCAGAAAGATGAAAAGGAATTTTGAGATTATATCCTTTGCCCTGCCCATTTTCCTGAGTTAGAAACTGAGGCCTAGAGAGGTTAATCTGTCCTAGTCAGTTAGCAAAGTTTGCAGAAAAAGCTGAGCATCCTGACTTTCTATAGTTTGCTTTCCACTATTTTATGTCATCATTATCACTTGCATCTCTTCAGAATGTCTAGTAAAGTGTTAATATACAGATATACACACACACACACACACACACACACACACACACACACTAGAGGCCCGATGCACGAAATTTGTGCAAGAGTAGGCTTTCCTTCACCCGGCTACTGGCACTGGCTTCCCTCAATAAATGCCAATACAATAAGCATATGAGCTTACATAACAGAGGAACTGACTCAAGGAAAGAGGCAGAAAGCAGAAAGGTCATTTTCTTACTTCTTTGCATGATGCCACCCTCCAGACCAGTTAATTGCTACTCTGCACATTCCATCAATCAGGCATTGGGCAGCTGTGATTGTAGCCCCTCCTACAGATGCTGCGTAGTCAAATATCCCTTCTGTAGCTGGACAGTCATAACCTTTGGGAAAACATCAAAAGAGCTTGTTAAAAGATGAATTGGAGAAAGAGGAGGTGTGATATTGTGATTTATAATAAGAAATATATTTGACCTTTGTCCCCATTTCTGGTATAGAGCTCCCAAAACTCTTGGAATTTTCCCAGTGATGAGAGCAATCCATAAAGGTGTCTGTGTTATTTTAATGAGGCAACCAGTAGACCACACCTAAGGATGAGTCTGGTTGCCAATGGAGCCAACCATGTGATTAGAAGGTTGGAAGTTTCAGTCCCACTCCTTGACCTCTAGCAAGGGGAGAGGAGCTAGAGATTCAGTTCAATCACCAACTGATCAATGACTTAACCAATCATACCTATGTAATTAAGTCTCCATAAAAACCCAATAGGAGAGGGTTCAGAAAGCTTCTGGGTTGATGAACATGTGGAGATTTGGGTAGGGTGGCACACTTGAAGAGGGCATGGAAACTGCATCCTTCCCCCTATCCCTTGCATTAAGCATCTCTTCCATCTGGCTGCCCCTGAGTTATAGCCATTTACAGTTGACTCTTGAACAACAAAGGGGTTGAGGGGCCAACCATGCTGAATAATTGAAAATTCATGTAGTAACTTTTGATTACCTAAAAACTTAACTACTAATTGGCTACTGCTGACCAGAAGCCTTACCAATAACATAAATAATCAATTAACACATATTTTGTATGCTATATGTATGTATACTGTATTCTTACAATAAAGTAAGCTAGAGAAAATGTTAAGAAAATCATAAGGGAGAGAAAAAACATTTTATAGTATTTACTGAAAAACATCCACATATAAGTGGACCTGCACAGTTCAAACCTGCATCATTCAAGGGTCACCTATATAATTAATAGGTAATCTAGAGAGTAAATGGATTACCTGAGTTCTGTGAGCCACTCTACCAAATTAATCAAACCTAGGGCGTGGGTCAGAAGTACAGGTAACAGCCTGGGCTTGTGATTGACATCTGAAATGAGCAGCAGTCTTGAGGGACTAAGCCCTTTACCTGTGGAATTTAATACCATCTCCAGGTAGATAGTGTCAGAATTGAGTTGAATTGCAGGACACCCAGCTGATGTCATGAGCATTGCTTGGTGGTGTGGGGTTAAACCCCTCCCTGCACACATTGGATTGGGTCCAGAACCCTCTTAGGAGAAATAGGTTGAAGTACGACAACAACATACCCTACCAAAAAGCTACTATGCTAAAATCAGCTCCAAACAAGAGAGAAACATCTCTAATATCAAGAAAAGAATTATTTAAAGTGTTGAAGTAGAAAGGCTAAACCAGGAGTCCTCAAACTACAGCCCGCAGGCCACATGCAAATACAAATATTGTATTTGTTCCCGTTTTGTTTTTTAACTTCAAAATAAGGTATCTGCAGTGTGCATAGGAATTCTGTTCATAGTTTTTTTTTTTTTAAACTATAGTCCGGCCCTCCAACGGTCTGTGGGACAGTGAACTGGCCCCCTGGGCTAAACCTTCAAGATTAACTTGTCATGTCCCATAGATGGAGATACTGAAGTCTAATAGGAGATATGTCTTCTCTATGGTCACAAAGAGCCAGACCTGGGACACAGGTCTCTTGCCCTGCCCTCAGTCCAGTTCTTCTTCTAAACTATGTTGTTTCTCTAGATTATGCTATTGGCCGCTTCCAATTGTTTTAAATGCAGCTGTTTAATGAAAGATAAAGTAGAAAACTTAGCCACAACATAAATCTGTACTCAAGTTAAAAGATAAGGTAACAGGACAGTTAAATCAGCATATATACAGCCAGACCCAAGCAACTGGAAGATTTTTCTCCATCTGATCCATCATTCAGTTCTGCTCAACTCAAATGGTTTGCTTGTTAAGTGAGATGTATGTGGCTAAACTGAGAGATTAAGTTGTGGTTAACACATTAGTCCTTAATTTAAAAAGTATTGAAGACCACCATGCAAGTTATAAAAGATTAAGTAGTACTGATATATAAATGGAGGTTGTATATCTCCCACCATTGCTTAGTAATAACATTACCTAGGCCATATTCTATGGAGTCTGGATGATCGTCATCTCCTTCTTGGCTGACCTTCTGGAGATGCTGCAGATAGGCATCGGTGTGGAAGGTGGCCATCTCCTCCATAGAAGCCACTTTGGGCTTAACTATTCTAATAATAACAGAGAACAAGGAGAGTGAGTCAGATCCAGAGCATGCCAAAAACTAGAAGCAGGAACTAGTGATATGAGCAGAAAATATAACTAGCTTCTTGTTCCAGTGGCTAAAGTAATAAACATGTTCTGTTTTTCCAATGCACTATATACCAGTAGTCTTTATTTCCTCACAACTATGTAATGGCTCCATTAACGGGGGTGAGAGGATAGATTTTTCCCTTGAGTGTATAGGTAGTAAAAGAAAGTATATTTAAGTTAAGTAATCAGGTATTGGACATTACTTTGAGAATTATAAATTTCATGACAAATCAGCAGGCTCAGATATTTTCATCTGAATCAGCTCCTAATTGGGCCATGTAATCCTTTCAGCTATATTTTCACTTTCATAGGCAGTTATATTGTTATGAATTTTGAATTTGGAGTCAGATAAGAATTCTTCTGTAGCTCAGTTTCCTCATCTGTAAAATGGGGAGATCTTATGAAACTTATATGATAACATATATAAAATGCTTTGTGGATAATCACTGTTAATATTAAAGGATAAAAACAGGCAACCCAAAACATAAAAGTTCCTGTGTTTGGTCCCTCACACCTCCCTCTGAGGAGGAGAGGAAGGGCAAACAGTTGGAGCTGGGCTTTTCCCAGAAGCTCCCAACCAACTCCTCACAAGAAGTGACAAACAGGAGTGACTGAGAGAATACAGATGCTAATGACAGGACTTTCCATCTCTAACTTCTAGCTGCCTATTTATTCCCTATTTCCTCTTCCTGATTCCACCACCCTCTCTACTGCTCAGGCCACTCAAAGGGTGGTCCGTGACTGACAGCAGTATCACCTGGGGGCTTGTTAGAAAGGCAGAATTTAGCCTAACCTCCAACCCACTGAGTCAGATTTGTATTTTAACAAGGTAATTCATATGCATACTTAAGTTGGAAAAGCAATAACCTAGGCCACAGGAGGCAGTACTGTTTTTTTAATGTTTGTTAATTGGGAATAGGGCCACATGTAGGGAGCGGCTATAGGGTTAAGCCTGGGACTGACCTGTTGGCAAAGCCACAAACAAGTCGCAGCTTAGAGGGCACAGCCCTCTTAGCATAATTAGGCTTGACCTTATGACGCCCTAGATTAGTGGTTCTCAACCTTGGCTGCACATTAGAATCACCCCTCATGTTGTGACCCAACCATAAAATTATTTTCGTTGCTACTTCATCACTGTAGTGTTGCTACTGTTATGGATCGTAATCCAAAACAAGTGAAACTCACAAGAACATTGTACCTATGGTGAGCACTATCTTGTTTACCTCCAGCTATAAAATAAAGGCTCAGCTTGCCCTCTGTGGCCTCAGCCAGGCACAGGAGGCCTAGACCCAGCTTATTCTCTTTGTCTGTCTTTTCTACATTCATCCTTCACTGCTCCTCACCCCCCACGCTCACAGAACCCTTGGCTGTGCTGGCCCAGCACAGCTACAAGTTTCTCCTGAATTACTATGACTTTTCATGTTAGGGCAATCACCGAACAGGCCAGAAGAATCCTGAGGCTCTGCCTCAAAAATTATATATAGCCAAGATTGGAGGATTTGATTCATGCTCCTTCTTTAAGAAAACATGTCTACATCCTTGGAAGTGACAAATCTGCCCATTAAAATAATTTTTTTAGTTTCTTGTACCATGTTTCCCAGCCCTAATAGTTCTTCTAGCAACCTTCCTCTTACTTAATACTTATTGAAAGCTTCCCCATGTACCCAGCAAGGAAATGTGATAGTTTTACTTTGTTTTGATTTGTTTGTCTTTCAGTCAGCTTTTGAAATGTTAAATGACTTTAATGGAAGGCATTTGTTTTTATGTTTATCAAATATATGGGATGAAAAACATTCCCAAAGAAGGTGCTCAATAAATGATTTAGTTAATAAAAAGGATAAAATCTGAAAGCCTGTTACAGTACATCTGGGAGAGAAATGAGGCATATCACACTAACAGGTGTAAACAGACATTTGCCAGAAAATGTCATAAATAATTCTACAAGTGTCAGGGTTTTACTCTTATTTACTCTTAAAATGACAGTGAGGGAGAAACTAAGATGGCGGCAGAGATAAACACCGGGAAGTTAATGCCGCTCACAACAATTGATTAATACCTCAGAGAAACAACAGGGACTTCATCCAGAACCACAGGAAGCCTGGCTGACTGTAAACTCTACAACTAGAAGGAAGGAAAGGCACACTGAGACCCGCAGAAGCTGCAGGAGAGAAGCACAGAG